AGCTAGATATAGACAAAGAACAACAGAGTTACCAGTGATAAACAGTACTGAAGTACAAGAAGTACAAAGGTCTCGATTTTTTAGAAGCCGCAGACCAATTTCTTCTACCACAACTACAACAGAAGAAACAATAACAGAACTATTAAATGTTGAAGAAAATGCAGATAATGTTCGTTATGAAACGACACCATACACTCCTACTACAACGCATGTCGTACCAACTACAAACGTCGAAGAAATGTCGACAAACGATGAGGAAATTAAAATAACAACAATCGATAGTTTTGAGCCAGTAAAATACAGTACAACTGAAATGACAACAATAATACAGCCAATCACTAATAAAATAACCAGGTCTTTCAGAGGATCCGTGAGAGCAAACGACGGATTTCAGGATAGTAAAATTGATAAACCACGATCTCCGTCATTAGGCAGACAAAATTCAAGATTTTTAAAAGAAGAACAAAAAATATTATTTATTAGAGTTATGCCTTTGCCAGATGGACGATCTCAAAATGAGTTTACATCAAATCCTGTCAAAAATATAACTCGAAATCGGGGTAGAGTCAGAGCATATGATTCTCTAGAACTAAATACTCTAACCGATGAGTTGACAAATGATGACCGACCAAATGAGCTGTTCAGAGGAAGTGAAACAAAATTCAGACCAACCACTTCTACCACCACTGAATCGACAGAAGAGGTATGAATGAAATTTGCATAACAAGTTAAAACAACTAAAACGAATCCATCGGTCGGGCGCACGAAAGCTACTAATAAAATATACTACCTCATTAATATGAATTACGAATGTGTAAATGTTGTGGTCGCTGGTGAACTGATGACTGCTGCATGATTAAATCTAAACTGGATAAATTATTTTGGCTTAACAAGAACCATACTGACGATTAAAAATCGGTGGAAATAAGTTGCATGATAAAATAAAGACAGGTACGAATGGTTCGAGCATCCGCTACGCCACTGCATTGCATCCTAAGCTTCCCATCCACTAATAAACATAAATGCTAACATACTCATTTTATTTCTACTGTACTTAACAATAAATTATCATAATAGTGTTATTAAGTTGTATGAATATTTTTTTAAGATTCAAAAAGACAGAATTCGTCAACGAATTACAAGACCAGTTCAACGTTCAACGACGACAACAACAACTACTACCGAGGAATCACCACCAAGTTCATCTGCAACAGAATCATATTCGTCAAAAGTAAATCGAAGGAGAAAATTTAGGCCCGAATATACAACTACTTCAACTTCAAGCTACGAAGAAGGTGTGTATTAATGTTTATAAAATTGTATTAATATTTCATTAGGTATAAATTACGTAAAAATATAGTTAGATAATTTTACCTAATTACAAAAAATCTGATTCCTAATCAGTTGACTGCTCAATAATAAATAAGATTATCTTAAAGTCAAATATATTAAGTTATAAATTATATATTCCTATAATAACTACCATAAGTTACATTTATTTTATTTTTATTACTACCAAAAGTTACTGTAAGTTATAGTTTGAGTGATCATAGAAATATACAATTATTTGAATTATTATTATAGTATAAAATCAAATTCTTTACTTTTAAGGAATATTGTTTTGTAATATAAAATGTAATATTACAAGACACAAAACGCACTTATTTGAAATTCATTTTGATAAATTGATAAGTGATAACAATTAAGTGCCTATTGAAAAGCGCATTTAAGGTACTAAAAACAATATCTATTTTTATCCATATTTGTCACTTTGATGGTAGCTTACATTATATTTATTAATTTCAACCTAATAAATAATATATATTTAAAATAAACCTATATTATTATCATTACTAAAACTGACATATTTTATTTTAAAGAAATAACTACACCAAAAACTCGAAATCCTGAACGAAGATTTAGGAGCCGGACACCATTATTGAAAAATACAATAACTACAAGTACAACACCAGAAACCTTAGAGAACAGTGATAGGGAATTCTTCAGTACGTCATCACAGCCATATTTCGACGATTCGAGTCTTTTTGCGAAGACCCGAGATGATCGTAAAATTGGCGGATCGACAGAAGACCTAGCTAATACAGCTGTAGTTGCCATACATACACTTGCTACAGCACCGCCTTCAAATTACGAATTTAGTAAGAAAACTTATACACCTATAATAGATTTATGCGCTATAATAACAATGCAATTGGTAAAAATGTGATACATTACGAGTATAATAATATTGATTTTATTTACATTAACAAGCAAAATAAAAGTTAGGTCATGTTGGTAACCACTAACCATGAATAATATTAAAAAAAATATTGCTTGATTTTGACGATTTGCAGGGCCTTCTACGCACAGTCCGCAGCAGAGCGTTTTTCGCGAAACCACTCAGAACCGCGAATATTTCGAGCCACAAGCACCACATTCAATAAACTCGTTCGATGTCGTTCAGCCGGCTAGACTGCCGGTACAGTCTCTGAGACAATCAGCACAACCTCAACTGCCGCCACCGGCACCACCGTCTATCAAGCTGCCCGCGGTCTCGTTCCAGCCGGCACCTTTCCAACCTTCTCCGTTCCAGGCAGGCCCCTTCCAGCCGGTCCCGTATCCAGGACTACCATTCCAGGCAAACAATGCTTTCGCGCCAGTCGCGAGACAATCACCCACGACCGCGCTGCCCCCGGCCACGTCTCGGCAAACGTTCATATTGCGAAGGGGACCGTCGAGGACCACGCCGCTGGGAACAGCTGCGACGTCAGCGCCGCTGCAGTACTTGAACGACAACACGCAGGAACAGTACGCCGACTATTCGGAACCGGAACAGGCATCTGACTCCAGTGAACAGCGGGTGGCCCTCAAGGGCAAGGTCCGGATACACGGGGACGGGTACATCGAGTGTCTGGACATGGGCAGTTTCCCGCACCCGTTCTCGTGCCAGAAATTCATTTCCTGCGCCAAGACGGAATACGGAGCGCTGTTCGGATGGGAGTACACGTGCCCCAAGGGGCTGTCGTTCGACCAAGTGGGCGGCATTTGCAACTGGTCGTCCGGGCCCGTGTGCAACAACTAATATGTGACCTGTAGTACGCGTCACAAAAGCACGAAGAAAAACGAAAAGCGCAAACAAAAACAGACAAAACAAAATTCCTAGTCTCTCTCTGTATCTGTTGCTCTCTCTATATCTATCTCTCCCTCTCTCCCTCCCTATCATTCCATCCCCTTTATCCATCTTCTTTGTTTATCTCTCTCTTTCTCTCTCTCTCTCTCTCTCTCTCTCTATCTCTCAACGTATGATTTTTCGTTACGTTTAAACGCTGAATGTTCTTTTCAGGGCCAGTTTTTGATAGAGAATCCAACTCGGATGAAATTACATTAATTTAATCGGACTGTCGATATCAAAATAGTATATATACCTAAGTATTGTAATTTCATTCGATTTGTTTTGTATACATATTTTATAACTACGTATATGTTATAATAGTTAAATTTATATATTTTGTATTTTTACGTATTTAAGAATAAATTTTAATAATTATAAGATATTTTGTGTTTACATTTCATAATTCGATGTCTTACATGTTACATCCTATAGGATCAGTGGAGTCATTTCAGTTTTTGAAAGGGGGGGCGAAATCTTTGACTTGTCCAAATTAAAACTGAAAAAAAAAACCACTTGCTAACAATTACATTTTTTCAGAGATAACAATAACTAAATAATTAATACATAATATGTAGAGGTATACTTAAATATATTACCTATTATAGCTACTATATGAAGGCCCAAAACTAGCCCATACCCATACTGCCCATGCTGCCCATACAGCGGCCCGCTAATGATAGTGGGGGGTAAATGCCCTCCTTGTACCCCCCCCCCCAAATGACGCCACTGCATGGGATGGATGTATCCCACGCTCATACGTTCACGTCATTGGAGTATTCTTTATATATACAAAGGTACTCTGGTACTCATATAATAAACTATTTCATACGGTCCATTTAAACTGTATAAACACCTAACCCATACCTAACCAAAGTAAAGTTTTAAGTTTATAATTTTCAAACAAATAATATTAATAATAGCATTATTGATTTTTTATCAGTTAAAAGTTGTATACTAATAAATCAAATGAATATTTTGTCAATCAATTAAAACGCATAGTATAGGTTAGGCTAGCTATCATATTAATTATTAACTAATATATTTAAAAACATCATAATTTATCATTGTAATATACTTGTGACAAAACAATATTCTATAATAGTTTATAATCTATATAATATAATTTTAAATTTTTGGAAGGGGGTTCAAGCCCAAAATTCCCTCCAGGGTGCAGTGTGTATATTGTAAAATGTTGTTGTTTATATGAATAACTCTATAGGGACGGTATCCCACTCGGTTTCATATTTCTAAAAGAAAAAAAAGGTAAAATGAAAAATCCAAGACGTTTTTATTATTTTTTGCTTTACGAAATCACATTTTATTTTTTATTAATATTTTACGAATTACTACAAAACAATATATTACTACATTATAATCTACATAGTCGAAAAACATTAAAATACATTTCTTTCTAATTTATATGCTTAAATACCTAAAACCAAATATATTAAATTTAATGAAACTAAATTGAATAATGTCTATCGATTAATCTACTGTCTACTGTATACATTAAATTTTACCGACAAATACTATAAAGTAACTTTTTCAGGCCGAAAGGTACATTTAAATATAATATCAAAACAAAATTGAAAGTATAATATTGTTTTCTATATCTAAAAAAATAAATATATTAAATAAGTATTGCTATTATTAAGAATGTATACCGCGTTTATCCGTGTATATTGTTAAATTTTCTAGGTATACTTATAATATTTATAGCATTTTGTGTTCGTATTGTTTGAATTCATGTCCATTATTCACCAAATACATACAATCTCTAGTATAATTTATAGTCTACCATGAACAACAGTATATTTTCTTATGTGGTTCAATCGATGTCCAGTTTCTTAAACGTACCACTCATGTCCATATCAATATTTTTCGATTGTACTGGTCGTTTCGATAAATCGGCTTTTGGCATATTTCTGTACCACTCGTCGTCTTCTTTCGTCGCTCTCATGATGTCGTCTAAAATCAATCAATCATAGTTTAAAGAAGACTTTATAAGTTATTAGGATAGGCGTGGTCGGCCTGGCCTTAGCAGGGGGGCAGGAATTCCTACTTTGGTTATATTCGTGTTATTGTTTTCGGGCAGGTGTTCACTAACGATACGAATATACGATATAAGTAAATAACTATACACCACTATGTTCAAATGTTGACAACCGCTAAAAGATTATGATTGAAACGATCTGGACTATTCAATAGTCTATATATATTGTTTTTAAATGTGTCATCAACCACAGTGACCCGACTGTGAAAGAGTTTGTTTTAAATTAAAAATAGACTCAGATCTAATCGCTCTCAAACTATTCTCCCGCCATTCACGTTCATTTACATAGAAAGATATAGCCGAGCGTGTGAACAAATAAAATCAATGCCATTTTAAATGCATATCTACCGATCTTAAGCGACTACTTCAGTAATATGTATAAATGTTGTTAGTTGTTAACATCACTTAATATTATATTAAAAATAAAATAAAATGTCGAATTTATATCTACCTATCTATGTATATATAATATTACAAATATTTTATATACAACAATACTAGATTTTTAAATAAATACATTATATTATGCTCTCCTTTTAGCTATATTTGTTTTGAGTTTTTTGACATACCTATAAATATGTTTTTTTGCTGAGTACACAATAAAATGTTTCTGACCGATTTTTCGTATGGTTTTTGTTTTCATGGTTACTTATTAACAAAATCATATTTATGATTCATAGATTTTTATTGTATAATAGAGGAAAAATATCGATTAGCGCTCTACGGTTGTATTTTAAGTCCAAGAAAAAATTCCTGCCTGAGCCCTTTCTAGGTATTCAGGCCGACCCTGAGGATAGATATGAACTAGGTTTAGCCGTATAGGTACTAAAATTGTTTCGATCACTCGATCAATAACCGTCTTAATCGTTGATAAAATGATTTACCTTCGAATTTCTCGATACTGCCCGCGGTACCGCCGTACTCGTCCGGTAACACATCCCTGGGAATGTATTCGTAAAGTGTATCGTAGGTTTCGTGAATGACAATCTAAAACAAAACGTTCAAAACAATCAATACAATTGAAGTGTATACGCAAGCTAAACGAGAATTTCGTTAATTAGGTAAGTACACAATTATTATATTTACTCGGTTTTGAATTTTAGATGGCATGAACAGTTTGAAGAAATTCACCAAACGCGACACAAACTTTGGTGGATTCACGTAGTGGACACCTCTTACTCGCAATGGCGTAGCTTCCTGAAACCGAAAACGTAACGTTTTACTGTTAAGAGGGTCGGAGCCGGTTCGTTTTTTGATACAAAAACATGTCTTACAGGAAAAACTCTCAAGCCCTTTAAAATGGTCGGATTTCGTTAATTTTTTTTTTATCTAAAAGCAGAGAACATTTTGTAGGTCGGATCAAAGCCCGATTTTGAAAATTATAATTATAGAAGCTGAAATATGCATTTGAAAAATGCACAATATTTGGACTTTTTTCAAACGTAATTTTCTACTACTATTTAAAGTAAAATAAAATATCGACCTGCAGAAACTTCTCATCTTTCAGATAAAAAAAAATTGACCAAAATCCGACATATCTACGAGGCATGAGAGTTTTTCCTGTGAAACCATTTTTGTTCATTAAAATAGTGCTTCGATAATATATAGTCATCGAAGTCTAGCATTGACTTGTACATGCCCGTGGGTACATATCTTTATTAGCGCATGTAATACCTCACTCACACTAATATCGATTTAAATTCTCACACACATGCACGTTCCGCGCGAGGCCGATACAACATGTGAATAATTTGCCTAAATTTTACTCCTTAATAAATGACCGGCACCGACACCCCGAGAACAAATTATGGTGTGCGGAGAACAAGTGCCGCCATCCTCCACCCGGGGCATGGCAGATATCTAAGGTGCCCCATTAGAAATGTTGCCAAAACACAACACACACGGGTACCAACTTACCTAATCTAAAAACCCACAGTTCCCTCCCCCACACCCAATGACCTATGTTGTCGCGGGTTATCCAAAAAAAAAAAAAATATTAAATTTTAAGTTTTTAGGTATTCACGGTATCACATGCATATTTATTTTGTATTAATACGTGATTAAATACAAAATAAATATAAATGATTAAGGTAATAAGTAATAACCAAATATGTAGTAACTTTATAGATATATTTGTATTTTGTAATTATTACGCATAAAAATTTTTCTTTAAAAGAACTATAATAGTATACTGTATAGCCCGCAATATAATGATATAAGTATAATATATTCACTATTATCTGTTAAAAATGATTACAGATTTTCACAAACGGAATGATTGTTTTTTACGAAGGTAGGTTACTGTTATACATTATGTAAATTTTATATGGCTTACGGGCTTACGGCTGAATAATATTTATACTTACGTCTATGCATCGCATTAGATTTTTTGTTAATGTAGGTGTAAAGCTTAATAAATAAGACAGTTGACAATGTTTGAGATCGAGCAAGAACACCAACCCATAAACGGGTTCACGACGCATTAAATAATCAATGGTTTTTAATGATCCTTTACACATGGCCATTGCATCAAAGTCCCCGTCGTTGTTTTCAATTGACCGAATAATGTGTACACGATTTGCTTCCGGTGTCATTTTGGGTAATACTGACATTTTTCTACAAACCAAATATTATTTTTTTTTAAATTACGTACTCTTGTTCTATAATCTATACACATAGTACCTATAGATAAAATATATTCATATAATATTCTCGAAGAGTTCAAAATAATTTGTATCATCGACTATATACCGACAAAGACACCTTTACAAATAATTATTGTGTAGTATACATGCATTATAGACGACATAGGCGCAACTAGGGTTAAAATTCTGGGGTTGCCAACAAAACTATTTATTTAAAATAACCCGAAATATCTAAATCAATAAGGGATATTTGAGTGGGGATTAAATCTTAGTCAGGGGGGCTAAGCTGTGCCAATGATTATAGATACCTATTATCTTATCCCTTGTCAGCAAAAGAGAAATGTTCCAATAATATTTAAGATGGACCATAAATATTATTGGAACATATCTATATTCCCCAAAAGTGATGCAGACAAGGAGTTGGGAATGGTACAGAAAAGCATCAGTTCTGGAATCACGGCCCTTTTGAAAATATTTAAAAATGTTTGAAAACAAAATCGAAAGTCAAAACCGTAATTGAATTTTAAGGGAACTAACGTAATTTTTCTTGACATCCCGCAAGTGTGACATCGGCCTTCAAAACTCTCAGTATACGACACAGAAATAGTATTTGAAATTTATTATACATATTAATGTTATAAATCTAAGGTCACAAATCATTAAAAGGGAAAACAAGTTTATTTTTATAGTTGTTTATACTTCTTTAGTTAAATAGGGAACAAATCTAGTTTACCGGAAATCATTATTTTTAGTAATATTATTAATTGTACAACTCTCAAAAATGGTTGTGTTATGTTTAGAATTTATTTAAATCGCTTATTAAATTTAAATGTCCGTCTACTTCTGATGTTTGAAACCCGAAATGTAAGATATATAGATTATTGTATTTACATTTAACGCGTAGTTTTTAAAATCAAATTATAGGTATAATCTGATACTTATATCTATTGAATAGGTAGGTGGTATACGAGAATAGTATAAATATCGACCAAAATATTTATTTAAAATATTAAGAATAATATAAAACAATAATAATAAAATTCATTGCTGACATTTTCAAGAGCGAAAAATATAAATGTTGAAAGGTTTAAGTTGCTCATATGGCTATATAGTGGTAAATATTAAGAATACCAACTTACCCAACTTTAACCGCCTTTTGAATCCATTCAGCATCACTAGACATGTCGTTGAAAAGTTCCGGCATTTCTACACGAATCGTAAAGTAGGATTCAATAACTTTCTTTGTCCTTTGCAAATTATTTTTACGGCAATGAGGAATGTCTCAGCCATACTCGGTCTAAATTAAAATTAACAAACAATGGGCTTATTTTTAAATTCGGTTTTATACTTACAACTTTATTTAACCTCAGATTATTAGATACTATTCCTGGAGTTCCGTTACTGGACGGTAATCTCCACCCACGAAAAGCGTTGCTTATTTTTAACATTTTTTTCCCCTATAACATGCTTATTAATAAGATATATGTGCATCACTTTAGTAAAAATTGTATCTTTTTCTATGAAAAAGATACCATTAAAAAAAAAAACAGATTAATTTGAGATAAATATTTTTATTTTATTTGTTTTTTATATATATACGCGGTATATACAATCTGTTCCTTTAGGAACAAAAAGAATACATGGTAATAGAAAAAAATTAGATTATTTAATGAGAAGAGTCACACAGGTAGGTAACACTACCCTTACTTGATGATTTTTTTTTTAATGTTTAGGTATTGTTACTGTTATAACTTTAATATTACTCATTGAGAATAGATCTCGAAACAATTCCTTCTGAGCCTCTTGGAAGGGTTCCCAGGAATTGTGAAAATGGCAAGGTTTGAAATGAGGGTATTGGTATTAGAAAGAAGTTTTTAATGGAATCGTTTGTAAAAAGTTACTGCATCTTCATGGACTGTTTTAATTTTTAGATTGGTGTGTAAAGTTAGGTTTGAGATATAAGGAGGATGATTCGTGATTTTACGAAGGATATTATTGTGGAGTTTTGAATATTATTAGTGTTGGATTTTTTGACATTGCCCCAAAGCTGAAGACCATAGGTCCACAGCGGTTTGAACAGGATTTATAAATTAAGAGTTTAGTATTTAATGGAGTGTGTTTGTTTTCAGAATTAGAGTTTTAGGACGCCGGAGTCTATAAATATTTAAAACATTTGACTACAAACTTTTTTAGGTGACTAGATTAAAACACCGGTTCACTAGGTAACTGTACAATGTATTATTATTATTATGTTAGTGTATTGTTATTTAGTAACAAATGTATACTCGATCTTATGTTTAACTAGTGTCTAGTATTTTGAAATACCATAATTGAATAATTATTGAGATATAAATTATTAGATAACCGTATAACATATAAATATTATTATTTTTTATTAGCTTTCAGTACAAACTATTATAGGTCACAATTATAAGTACAAGTATAAACAAACTACAATTTTATAGAAAAAACAATTAATAACTTGTTCAATATTAAAAACGACGAAAATAGCAATAACTATGAATTACCTACCTAATGAGTTTTTGATTAGCGTGGTAAAAATTAAATTAATATCTCCCATAAATAATTATATACTACCTAAGGGGAAAACATGCAATACGTCTCATTACGAAATTATTTAAATCGAGTAGATTTTAAATTATTTTTTAGAAAATTAATCATACGTATTAATAATATGCTTTAGTTAATCAATCAGCAGTGGACTACTAAATTTAAAATATATATTATGAAGTATTGATTCAACTTTATTCTTTATTATACGAGTGTGCACTTGTCACAGACATTAACTTCCATATTTGGGAATATAAAATTATAGGAACTTTAGAATGCTGTTTTGATTAAACTAAGAACATGTAATCTTCGTAATCGTAGGTGAAGAATAACAGAAAATTATTTGATCCATGGAAACAGTATACATCATAATTTAATCCAGATAATTTTCTGAATAAACAAGATTAGCCGATGTACTAATAATACGTGCATAATTATAATATGAGGAAGTTTTTAAGTGCAATTTTATTTATCCAGGTGTTTATTTCAAAGTTTTTAGTAGATCAGAGGAGTATGGTTAATTCTGAGAAACGAGTTCAAACAAACTGTTATATTAGGCAAATGCGGTTGTTTAGACAACCATTCAATCAAAGCGTCAATATCTTCTTCAGTTTCTTTAGGGTCTTTGTAGAAATACAGATTCTTGATAGCTTTTTCGTGTTGTCATTGGCGCGATAGAACCATTTGGCTGATTAGAGTTGTGTAAAAATAGTATGCGAACTTTTAATAAACAATTATTTGAGGTTTGTAAACCAAAATTTTCCTTCGCTGTATCCTATGACAATAATATAACGTGCAAAACTATACTACTGACTCAAAATGTGTAGTAGTTGCAGTACACCATTAGTTATTTAGTCGGTGCAACATACTAATCGTAAACATACACGCTTGTTCGTATAAAACGGACTATTGATATGTTATAGAACTAGTTTGTCTTAGCCTTGGCAAATTTCTCTGGATTTATTCGTAATATTACCTGTAAGTTGTAACAAGTCCAATAACACAGTTGTTTCCTGAAAACTATTCAGGGTCGTGCTTAGTGATTCACTGCTCCCCCAATAAAATGTAGATAACGCTACCTATAATTTAAATATACACTAGTTTTTAAAGGAGTTTTCTATCTCAATTTTTAGGCTATTTTAGAACGAAAATTCACAATTGTTAACATGTATAAGCCCTAAACGTTAGGGCCGTTTACGTTTCCAATTTTTTACATGGAGATAATCAAAAACCGAAAACATATTACAAAAGGAATATTGCAAAAAAAAAATATGTTATTGGAATGTAGATACATGCAAGTTATTAGGATAAAAAATTGGTAATAGCTGGAAAGTTCTTGCCATCGATTTACATGTACCTATACTTATACTTATGTATTATTTATATTTTTGTAATTATTTCGCTGGCATACAAATAATATTACATATTAAATAAATATTAATTACATATTCTACTGATCTCTGTTAGGTATATTGTAGGTACATTTACTAAAATGATTTACTACACTCATATTATCATGTATAAGTAATAAGCATAACATAATAGGTATACATTAAAATTTAACGGTGCATCCAGGCACTTCTCATTTCTCAATATTTATCTCAATTTGACAAAATGCAATCGCCAATCCGCCTCTACATTGTGTTCTATATAAATAAATAATACAAGTAAACAACACGCCACAGTCCAACATGTCACTACTATTATATTATACAGAATAAGACATTACAAATACTGTGTATAATATACCAGGTACCTATAATATATATACAAATAATATAAACTATATATACCAACTGGAAATTTAATATTATATAGAAGGTAGAACGTAGAAACTTATTACTGTATTAGTGCATTACGGTGGCCACGAAAGAGGTAAGACAGCATATTATATTCAATATTGTTTACTATATAAAATAATTTCACAATGCTAGATAGTAGATACACTATCCACAATAAAAATTGTATGGTGTATAGGGAATGCTAATATAAACATTCAGTGAAATTTTCAAGTATCTACGGTCATTTGTTTTTTAATTACAACAAAATAAGAAAATCGTTACATGAAAAATCGAGTGAATATCAAATGTTGTAAAAATATGAATTTCAAACTCTCATAAAAATTTAAATTGAGTTTCTTGTAGACCAACTTTTGAGGAACCTTCTATTACATTTTCACATCTTAGATTTAAAAACAAAAATTTTTATGAATTTATAACTCAAAATAATTTTCAAATTTTCTTCATTTTTACATATTTTGACAATATTTGGAATTTAAATGCTTGAAACAAAAAACTGTGACTAAGGATTTTTAATATTTTTCATCTGTCTTTGAAACAATATATTAGGAGCCTTCTATTAAAGTTTTAAGCTTTATATACCCAACAAATAAAATTGTATTGATATTTATAGAAAAAAAAACTAAAAATGTCCGTAAAGAGCTCAAAATAACTCAAAATATTTAGAAAATTTTATCATGTATAGAAAATGGAAATATAAAAAACCAGTGAAAATTTCATGTATCATGGTCATTTGTTTAAAAGTTACAACCAAAAACCAAAATCGATTTCTCGAAAACAGATTTTGTGTAAAAATTCCCGGTTTTCTTTTGTTTTTCACGGCGCTTTTGAAAACTAATGGGAAATTTTTACTTTTGACCCCCTCAAAGTACCAACTAGATTCACTTTAATATCAGAAAAGATACTGTTGAAGAAAATCCAAGCACTCTTACTGTCCTAAAAGTTGATTGTCAGACACAACAAAAAAAATGAAAAATAAAAAAAAACACACATCATAGTAAAATCAATACATTCATCGCTCCACTTAGAATCTAAAATGCACTTATTGAAATCATAATATTGTACTATTTTTTAGTAATAGATTCGTAAGTCGTAACCATTCGTATAACTACAATTTCGGGGGTAGCATCTAGTTACCTTATTAATAATAAGTTATTATATAAGTATAACGAACCAAAAATAAATTTCTATGTGAAAATATAAGCAACCAGTGAAAATTGTATGTATATAAATTCATTTGTTTTAGAGTTACAACAAAAACCAAAACCGATTTTGAGTAAAACTTCCCGTTTTTCCTTAATTTTTATGTTGTTTTCCCCGGCGCTTGTGAAAACAATTGGGAATTTTAAAATTTGACCTGCCGAATGCACCAACTAGATTCACTTTCCCATCGAACAAGATATTGTTGAAGAAAATCTAAGCAGTTTCACTGCCCCCAAACCGTGATGACAGAACACAAAAAAAAAACACACATCATTGGAAAATCAATACATTCATCGTTCCACTCACAATCTAAAAAAAATAAATATTTATTTACTCAAGTTTAATTTTTCACAATAATAATATACTGTCTCTATATTATAGTTAAGTGCATTTACTGTACAATTATGTATAATAATCTTAGTTCTTACCAATGTACTACTGACATAAATCGTTTCCTTAAAACAAATACAGGCATACAGCTAATGATATTTACCATATTTATCATAAGCAATATAAAATAAATATAAAGTTTAAATTAAAATTAAATAATTACATTTTTTTCCAAAAACAAGAAATACAGTTGAATTTTGAAAGGTTTATTAATATTTTAGGAAACAATTGAATAGTTTTT